AGTTTGTCTGTACAACTCTCTCAGTTTCAGACACAAAAATGTGGCCAAATTACGAAATCTTGGGGATACTTTATTAATCTACTAATTTGGTTATTCACAGCACATTTCCAGAGGGTGTCCCACTTTCTCCTGCTCATGAGTTCTCTTCTTGTTACTAGCCTGGAGGCTAGGGTCACCCCCATTTGTGCTGATCTAACAGCCCAGTCTCCCTCACCCCCTTACTCCTGGGCACCAGAGCCTTCCACAATGCTGGTTCATTGCCTTTGTCCTTTGGCTTGAAGCCTCATGGGGACCCAAGAGAATACTGCAGGGTTGTGCTGTCCTGAACCGGGGTTCACACTGGTTTCTCATAGACCAGGTATTCAATAATTGAATCTCTAGCACATTCGTCCTCACAAAGGAGGTCTCAGACCTTTTCCATCCTTCCTTAAATTCCCAGTTAAATCTGCCCACTCTGAGCAGAGGCTCCTCCCACCTGGCCAAATGGGAAAGGTGAATACTTTGGGGGTACCCTCTCACCTTCCTGCCTTTCACATCTCTTGTCCTTAATGTCCTCACCTCCCTTTCTCTCAACTGAGTAGAGGTGATACATGGCCCTCTTTAATCCTAAATAACGCTGTGCCTGGGGACACACCCCCTCGGGGCTGTTTCTGCTTCTGTAATAAGCCTGTCCCAATACTTCCATCGCTTACCTTTTTCTAAGAAGCGTTTGTTGTTGTTAGTAGCTATGACCCCATGTGTGTAGAGTAGAGCTGTGCTTTACAAGGTTTTTTTTTTCAAGGCTGTGACTTTTTGAAAGCAGATCACGGGGCCTGTCTTCTGAGCACCTCTGAGTGGATCTGAACTGTCAATCTTTCAGTTAGTAGATGCACACTTCACTGTTTGTGCCACCCAGGGATGACTCCACCTCATCTGACACCAAGTGTGTTTCCCTCCATCTGGGAAGAGCCTTTTCCTGGCCTTCCTGCAAATTCTGCAGCCTCACTTCTTCCTTGGAAGCTGAACTTTTCTGACTTGCTGCCCTCCCTTTCTCACCAGTGGCCTGAAATCTAGCTTCCAACCTCCATACTCTCCTGGAGAAGCCTTCCATGAAGGTGAATTCTTCCCAGTGTGAATCTCTAGGGGGCGCTCTAGAGCACTTGGCAAGACCAACCATGCCTTCCTAAAATCGCTCTCTGACCCACCTGCTTACAACTGCCCCTCGGGTTCCCCACCCACCTCACTGACAGTGTCTCTGCCCTGTTAGCCAGCTTCTCCCTCTTGGCAGGCATCTGTCTCAAGGCCTGGGGCTTTTGTCTGCATCTCCCCTAGGGTTCTCTCTTACATGCCTACCAGGCCAAGAGATGATTGGGGCAGGTCAGGCCTCAGTTCTCAGATGGGATTTCCCAATTTGTGAAGTTACAAGAAAAGAAGCAAAAAAGTTTCTCAGACAGAACCCAGGCCCAGCACACTTGGTCTTAGCTCAGTGAATCATTTGCCTCAAAAGAGTCTCTAGAAGCTTCTCTCTCCCACTCATCATCTCTTCCTTCAGCTCAGACCCCAGCAGGGAAGCTCAGGCTCCAAAGGTCAGGTCCCTCCGGAAAACCACCTGCAGCGAACAAGCCCTGGTGTTCTGGTAACCAAGGGAAACCAGCCAGGCGGCGGATGGAGTGCGATTGGAAGCTCTTGGGCCTGCTGGAGGGATCGCACACCAAGAAACTGGTGATTGGTGTCAGTTTTTCCGCTCTTTTTCACTACCCACGACCTACCAGAATCTTCCCTCTTCCTCCCCACACTTGAACTCGATACTCGCCCGTCAGTTTGCAGACTGTTCTGGGTTGTGTGTGTGTGTAGGTGGGGGAGCGTGGGGAGAAGGCAAGGTCCACTCCGAATGGGTGGGGGTCTCCTGGAAGTACAGACCGGCGCTTCCACGCCACAGGAAATGTGGGAAGCTGAGGCGATGGCCGCCAGCAGGTTTCGGACCTGTGTGGGCTGAGGGTCTTTTGTCTAGGGGCACAAGACCGGTTTCTGGGACCCGCCGGCCTGAGTGGTCAAGGAAGAGTGTGATCAGCCCTAAAGGGGATACTAGGGGTCTGGGTTCCCTGTCCCGGAGATCATCTCACCGGTTCGCTCCGAGCTCCGCTGCTCGCCTTCGCTCAGGACCCCTAGTGCGCCCGACAGTCGTTAGGGACGCCTTGCGTTGCCAGGAGGCGGGACGTGGCCGCCTAGCTGCCTGTAGCCGCAGGTCCGAGGCCAGGTGCGCAGGTCCGCGTGCCCGTCTGCGTGTGCAGCACGTTTCGTTGGTAGCTTGGTGTAAGAGCGGAGCACCAGTCCTTCCTTATGCCTGTCCGTACGCGCCTTGGCACGTGGCTTCCTGTCGCAAGGTGGCCCAGGCCCTGCCTTAAGACAGCCGTCTATGTAGGGCTGCTTTGTGGGCTATGAGAATTCTGCCCTTAGGGGAGGGTGTGCTTTGTGTTCTGATGCAGAACTCCTGGACTACTTGGTACATTTTTTTTTAAAAAAGGTTTTTATTATGGATTGAGTGAAAGTTTTCAGGGCACATCATCGGTTTCGCATTCAAACATTCATATACCTTGTTTCATTACATTGATTATAATCCCCTCCACATACCATCAGTTAACAGAGTTTCTCTCTATCCTCTTTAGCTTTTTTTTTGGGAAAAACTTTGCCTTTTTGGAATTTACAGGCTCAGCTTTTAGGGAAGGTTTTTACATTTATCTGTGGGTATCCAGGGCTCATGTATGGAATTACTAACCAGCATAACTGAATAATCAGATAAGGGACATTTTGCTATGTCTGCTAGGTGGCTAAAGTCTGATCCTCAGAGCCTATGGTTTGGACGGTCAGCAACGCTTGGGCCCACAGGGACTTGAACTCCTGACCAGGTCTGCATCAGATTCCCCCTTATTGGTACATTTTTAAGGGAAATGATAGTGGTGAGATGTCCAGGACACCTGCAAGGGTTACTGGTGCTCCTGTGAGGCCTCCTGTTGACTCTAAACCCTGCCGGTAGGGCTGTGGGCTGCAGCACCTCCCACCTTTCTCCAGAATGTAAACAAGGCTGGCGTTTGGGACCTGAGGCAGGAACGTTCCACAGGCTTCCACAGAGCTTTTTAATACAGCTCCAAGCCTGGAGCCATCTCCCTCCAGCCCTGGAGTGGCAGGATGTGGTGGCTCTGATCTAGAGGGTGGGGGTGACCCACTTCTGGGGGCTTGCTCATAAGAAAAATAAATTGCCCTTCAGAAGAGCAGCAGTAGACAGGTTGGTGGGAGGAGTCTCAAGTAGAGGCAATGAGCTATGAAGACAGTAGAGCTTTGTTTTAGGTTGGGTACTGGTGGTGTGATGGCTTTAAGTATTGAGCTGCTAACAGAAAGTTCTGTGGTTCAACTCCACTAACTAACCTGAGAACGATATGACAGTCTGCTTCCGTAATGATCACAGCCTTGGAAACCCTATGAGGCAGTTCAACTCTATTACAATGGGTTGATTTGGTGGTTTAAATGGTTAGGTGCTTGGCTGTTAACCAAAACAGTTGGTGGCTTCTGGGGAGAAAGATCGGGTGATTTGCTTCCATAAAGATGGCAGTCAAGAAACCCCACAGGGGCAGTTCTACTCTGCTACAGGGGGTCACTCGAGTTGGAATAAATTGGCATTCCAGAAGCCTGGTTTCATCAATAAAATGGGGGCACCACAACCCCTCACCTTGGTGCCTGCCCCTACTGAGCTTTCTCAAGGAAGCTGGACCTGTGGTGAGGACCCTCCACTGTGGACACTGCTCTAGTTACCGATATCCTGAAGAGAAGCTTTACAACTCCAGAGAGCACGAGTGAACAGTCAAGGGCCAGGCACCAAGGATGGCAGTCCCTTCAAGCCCTCATCAGTGATGATTGCCAAGTCACCAGTGCCTTATTTAGAATGAGGAATTGTACAAGAAATGGCAGTGAAAGGAGGGCTGGCCCTGCTCTTCTCATTTTTACTACACAGTAGGCCCAGACCTTGTTTGCTGGGGTGCCCCGAGATTGAAGATGGATTCCTGAGGTCCTTTAATCTAGCAAGTGAGGCATGGGAGCAGATGTGGAACTGTAGTGAAAAGGCAGGCTTCCTTTCATCCCTCAGCTTTTTGCTCTGAGATGACGATTTTAGTCTTGTTTCACCATCAGTTCAGGCTGGGAGGTTCTTGTAACTTGCTTCAAAAGGAAAGGACTGGTCTGGACCCTGCAGTCTGACTCCATTACCTGCTACACTCCTGCTTACCTACGCTGCACTAGCCTCTTCACTCCCACCTCATGGCTCCTCACTGGCTGTTCCTTGAGCTAGTAATGCTCTTCCCTCAGATCCCTGCATGGCTCATACCCTCACCTCCCAGGCCTCTGCTTTAGATGCCACCTCTCACACTCCTGATCTCCTTTCTACTTTGTTTCCACCACAGATTTCACCTGTACCTGCTTCTCCACAGATCAACAAATCAACAGTGCCTTAGCTATACAAGAAGCCATTGATAGTGAAATGAAGTAACAAAAAGGAGGTCTGCTCTGAATCCTTGCAGGCTGCTGGCACTCAAGAAGCTCTGTTCGTGCCTGGAATAGCTTGGCACATACAGAACCTGTCTGAGCACTTGTGGTCAGGAGGGTAGTCCTGAGTGGGACCCTAGGTGGCCTTTCAGCCCAGTGTGAGGGGACACATTGGTAATGGGGCATGCATACAAAGTTGCTGGGAGGAAAAAGGCTGTTTTTTTTTTTTTTTAATAAAAGAATCTTCTAGCTTTCTGTCCTCTGTGAAATCTTTACAAATGTTCACAGTCATGATAGTCACAAAGGGAAGGGACAGGGGTATGTGTCTATCGTCTTGCTTCTATTGCCCAGTTCCCTGTTTCTCATGTCCATGAAGGGCTTGGCTGGAGCGGCCCTCTCTGCTTCACCCTCCAAGAAGGTTCTGCTAGCCCCTCAGGACTCTTGGCACTTGCATGTCTGCTGTTTCTTTGTTCACATTGGCCCCTGGGTCAGAGCTGGGTGAGGGCATAGGCTCGGGCTGTACTGAGGGCAATTTCCAGGTCAGCAGTGCTGCTTCCAGTGCCCTGGGCCACAACTCGAGAGCCCCATGCCTTGCCCCCCATGTGGCTGCACACAGCCAGTGCCCAGGCCTCTGCTGTGAAGGCGGGTGTGGCACTCTGGGGACAGAAACAGAAAGGGAAGTAGTATAGAGCTGCCCGCTCTGCCACATGCACTAAAGGTCCTATCGGGCATGGAGTGGCAGGTGATTAGCATTCCTTCCCCAGCTGGATGAGAAGACAGAAGGGCTGGGCTGGGAGTGTGTGCAGAGGGTGATGATTGTCTGCTACTTGCTTACAAGGGCTGCGAGCCCTGGCTGTGAGGAGAGTAGGGTGGGCACTGGTGCTTGTACCCTGGGGGTGAGGTTCCTATCTGTTCCCATCTAGGGGTGATTTCTGAGATCACCTCCATCCACCCAACCTTAGCTCCCTCGTCTGGGAGGAGAAAGCAAGGTGTGAAACTAGAGAGCTGGACCAGGGGGCTGGGTGTGTGGGTGTGTGGATGCTCTCCCGCTGCCCTCACCTGGGCCACCTGACAGGCACACAGCACATTGCCCAGGGGCTGGGGGCTGAGCAGCAACACAGATGTGCTGGGGTCCTTCTCACACAGCTGCCGCACCATCTTCACCAGCACCTGGACACAGAAGACACATGGGGAATCTTACAGCTTTCCAGACCCCCAGCTTCCCCCCTCCCCTGCCCCAACACTCACAGACAGGGACTCAGCAGGCACTGTATCCACAATCAAAGGCCCCTTCGTGTGCCGCTCCAGCAACTCCTGGGTTTTCTTTGCTGCCTGTGGGACAGGGAGGAAGTTAGAGGGCTGAGGCCAGGAGGCAGCTCTTCTATCCATTCCAACTCTACACTGGGCCATGTCCTCTCTTCCTCTCCCCACGGCCCCCAGCTAAGGTCATCAGCTCTGCCTAGAATGGCCTCCTAGTCCTGGGCCCTATCTGGGTCCTTCCTCCGCTCCTTTGCCTCTTCTCTCTTTCCATATAGCCTGAGACTCTGACAAATAGGCCACTGAAGGAGAAGTGAAAGTGCTGGAACAGATGGCCTGGGAGGGGCCGGAGGAGCCATTAGGGTTGAATGGTGTTAATCACATCAGGGAAGGCTTCCTGGAGGGAGCGTCAGAGCCACATTAGGAAGATGGCAGAGACAGAAGAAGGGAATGACCTGCTGTGTGTGTGCTAGAGAACAAGGCAGGCTACCAGGCTGCCACCCCACCCCCCACCCCCCAGCACAACCTCCCTCTGGCTCACCTTGTATCCCTCAATTCTTGAGGCTCCTCAGGGAGGTTAGAGGTCGCTGACCCTGTATTTATTTTGGGGGTGGTGGGCAGGAGCATGGTGCGAGGGTTAGGGTAAGGGTTGGGACTATGGCCAGGTCTAAGCCTGTTGTTATTTGCCGTCGAGTCAGTTCCACTCATAGCGACCTTGTATAGAGCTCCTAAGGAGCAGCTGGTGGGTTTGAACAGCCAACCTTGAGGTTAGCAGTCCAGTGCTTATCTTATAACACTACACCAATACTTCAGCTTAAGCCTCTGACGGTTAAGTGCCATCGAGTTGGTTCCAACTCATAGCCAAACTGTATAGGGTTTATGAGGAGCGGCTGGTAAGCTTGAACTATCTTGCAGTTCAAATCAACCTTGCAGTCCAGGGCATTAACCCACAGGACCACACCAGGACTTCAGGTTAGGTCTAGGACATACTTTATTGTTAGAGTTATGGTTAGGACTAGGGTTAGTGTTAGGGATACAGGTTGGGTAGTCCTGGCATATTGCTGTAGGATAAGCACTGGACTGCTAACCACAAGGTCGGTGGTTCAAGCCAATACTTGGAAACTCTACACAGGGTCGTAATGTGCTAGAACTGACTCGATGGCACTAAACAACTACAAAAAGTTAGGAGTAAGGCTTGGACTAGTTTTTAGGATTACGGAGAGGATTATTTTAATTAGTGGTGGTGGTTATGTGCTGTGGTGGAGTGAGTTCTGACTCATAACGACCCTGCACAGGGTTTCTGAGGCTGTAAATCTTTACGGGAGCAGAAAGCCTTATCTTTCTCCTGCGGAACAGCTGGCAGTTTCAAACTGTTGACCGTAAGGTTAGCAGCCCAACTCGTAACCACTATGCTACCAAAATTCTTCATTTTAAATAATAAAAATTCTTAGTATCTGTTTGATTTCCTCTTTATTTGGGAAGTTCTGTAACTGCATTATTCCCTCTTTTTACTTTATGGTGGCTTCTTTTTGCTGTTACAACTGTATGTCTGGTTCTCTATTTTCAGTTTATAGCTGTTTTACTTCACATACATCTGTATCTGGGTTGAGTCTAGGTGATATTGTCATATATGTTAATCTTAGCATGTTAGCTGCTGCTGTCGGTTCTCTGTCCAAAGAACTCCCCTTAGTTTTACTATTTCTTATAAGGTTGGTCTGGTTTATACATTTTTAAAAATTTGTTTGTCTGAAAATGACCTAATTTTGCCATCACATTTGATGGACACTTTTGCTGGATATATGATTCTTGGTTGGCAATTTGTTTCTTTCAGGATTTTATATGTGTCTGACCCTCGCTTGATGTACCTGCTCTCTGCCCGCCCTCTGCATGAGTACAGTTAAACCCCTTCTTACCCTCCCTATCTCCAGCTTGCGGATGGCAGTGTTGGCACGCCGCTGCAGCATCTTCAGTGTCGCCTGAAGCTCCCGCCGCTGCCACTGGGGCATCATGGCAGTGTCCACAGCCTACGGCCAGAAGCAGCACATCTCCCCTGGCCTTCCCTGAGCCCCAGTCTCTGAGGCAGGGTCCAGCCAGGGCCTGGGAAGATGCCTCCTCCACCCCCATCCCACTCAAAGGCTGACACAGTTGCAATGCCAGGATCTACAGGGGGTGGGGGTGGCCCTCACTTCAGTGAGTCGTCCCATGTCCTTGGATAGGCGCTGCGCCTCCGGCACATCCCTGCTACCCTGATTTAGCCGCTCGGCCACTGCTTTCACCTCCTGGGCCAGGCTTTGGCCCACCTCTCGGGCCTGTGGAGAAAGAACAGGATAGTCAGTTCTACCTCTAGGACGGGATCTTAACAGGGACCAAATTAGAAAGATCTAACATAAGGACCCATCAAAATACCAGCATCAGTGAATCATAACAGTTCTGGCTACAGACAGCTGGCACCACCACATCAGTGCACAGGACCTAAACTGGTTCTGCTGATTGGCATCCCTGAGCCTGAGGGTGTCTGCTGTGAGTGTCCCGGGCCCTCCCTATCCCAACAGCCTCCCAGGATTCCTGGCTTGCTGACCTGCTGGGCCTGCTCCCCGGTAATGGCCAGCAGACGGGTGGTGCCCTTGGCTAGCTGACGCTCCCCAATGATAACCAGATCTCCCACGGCCCCTGTTCGTAGCAGATGACTGTGGGGAGACAGGGGGAGGAGGAAGTCAGGTGGGATGATGGGAGAAGAAGTCTGAACCCTAAATCCGGGGCTGGTAGCTCTAAAGATCAAGGAAGGCTACTGAAGGCCCCGGACCAGGGCAAACAGAAATGGCTGACTTACGTCCCACAGCACAGCTCCACGGAGGTCTGCAGTGCAGCCTGGGAGGCTGGGTCCAGCGCCTGGGCCACCGGCACCCCCACTGATACCACCCGCACGGGGTCTGGGTATACCTGAGGGGGAGGGGGACACAACTGGTAACTGGTCTGAGCAGGGCAAGCGCTCTCCACCTAGGGAGGACTCCCCCAACTCACCTCATCCAGGGAGCGCAGGCCAGGGACACAGGTGGTGAGCGCCAGGGCCACCTCGTCCATGTACACAGGTTCATCCTGCCTCACAACCTGCTGCACAGCACCCTCCACTGCCTGGAGCTGCTGGGGGGTCAGGGGGCCCTGAGGGAAGGGGTGCAGGGAAGAGGTGTCAGCCTCAAGCTGGAAACTGCTGACTGAGCAGCAGTGTTGGTTGGTCTCTCCCTGGGCTCTACAATTGTGGCTGAACATAACAGGTGCTGAGTAAGTTTTTGTAGAACAGACCGTCCTTTTCCTTAGAAAGCTACCCGGGAGCAGGACCCACCGGCAGCTGCAGACATTTCGTTAAGCACCCAAAGATGATGAGATACCAGAAAATGAGGCTGTCTTCTAGGAAGCTTATGGGAAGGACAGCCCAATGGGAGAGAAAAATACAGGTTGGGGGAGCAGAAGCAAGGAGTCATTAGGCTGGATGAGGTCAGGCAGTAAAGGCTTCGTGAGGCAAGGGAGACAGGGTGGCAGAGAAGGGAGACAGTAGCCCCTCTGTTCTTGGGGGCGGGGGGGAGGGCGGGCTGCAGTAACAGGAAGTGGCTGGAGGGTCCTCAGACTTTTACACCATCAGAGCTGGGAGAGGCCTTGACACAGTCCAGCCTGAGCCCTCAGGGACAGAGGACTGCCTGGGCTCCCACAACCACAGACTGCCTCTCTTTAATCTTGTCACTGCACATGGCACCTGCCACCCTGCTCACCTGGGTGGCAACGTCGAAACGCAGCCGCTCGGGACTGAGATAGGAGCCCCGCTGCTCTGTGCCGGGGCCCAGTGTGTACCGCAGTGCCCAGTTCAGCAGGTGGGTGGCCGTGTGCTTCTCCATGCAGCCTAGGCGCCAGGCCTGCAACAGTTTTGTCACCCAGGGCTCTGGGCAGACAGGGGTGGGGTGGGGTGGGAAGAGTGAAGGGGCTCTAGAATACCAAGAACAGCGGGAGTTGGGTACTTACCTCATCCACATGCAGCTGCACCTGGTCCCCCACCTGGAGGCGCTCAGGGGCCACAGCCTCATGCAGAATGAAGCCCCCACAGACCTGAGCCCGGGTCACTGGGAACAGTATGTCCTGGGAAGTAGCAGGGACCAAGGCATCAGAGTGACTATCAGAGCTTGTCCCTCCCACTGGCTTTGTCAGGTTGGCCTCCCACAGAAGTTTGTGCATGTGCACACGAGCAACTCACCTGTTGTTCTACCTGAACCAAGTAGCCACGGTCCGAAGCCTGACCCCCCTGTTCGGCGTAGAAGTTGGTCCTGTCCAAGAGGAGCCCACAGCGCTGGCCTTCCCCGACAGAGGTCACAGCTGCCCCATCTTCTGTGTACAGCTGTACCACCTGGGCCTCACAGGCGCCAAACTCTGCCAGGGCACAGAATGGTTATCAGTGCCGGGCAAGGGATGGTGACGTGGGGTGAGGGGCTGTGCCATATTTGAGGCCATAGGCATGTGGCGGAGTCCAGTTGTGGTGCTGGTTTGAACTGCAAGGTCGGTGGTTCAAGCTCACCAGCTGCTCTTCATAAACCCTACACAGGGTTGCTGAGTCTGAACCCACTCAAGCGCACTTAACAACAACAAAGGCACTAGGCTAAAGGGGTTTCCAACTGGAGGGAGGTGCAGAGACCCCTGGTGGCTATACTAGGGAATACATACGGGCTGGGTGTAGCCATCCACTCTGATTGATGTCCCCTCCCAAACCAGGTTAGGCAAGCTGGAGGCCACCTGCCTGTGTCCAGGCTCACCATAACCCCCACCGGGCCGCAGGGAGTAGCTGTACTTGGGACTGTCATCGGTTGGGGGCACTCCCTGGCGCTTCAGCTCCCCGAGCGCGTGGATGTCAAGCTGCAATCCCAGGTCCTGAGCTGGCTCGGCCTGCTGAGCCCGGTGCTGCAGGACAGGCATGTGGATATGGAAGCAAGGAATGGGGTGCAGTGGGGCCTGAACCTCTGCAGAGCCCTGTCCCTGTCACACAGCTGTGTGGGCCCTGTAGCCCTCTCTGGGGGAAGACCCCTGGGTTGCCTAGTGAACCACTAATCTTGCAGGTTTCCCAGGATGAGGCCACCCCTGGAAGTCCCTCTAGGATGCTGTATGGCCTCATTCCTTGGGCTCCTCTGTTGTGCCTCTGTTGTTACTGTTCCTCTCTGCAGGCTCTGGGGAGTGTGATGTCCTGGGCACCTGTACCTGTCACCCCTGTGGGTCAGGGTTCAGCCCCTATCTTAGCTTCTTATTTCCCCTCAATAACCACAGTTCCTCCCCTGGGAGTTTGGGGCTGGGGAGGAGGCCGACAGAGACCCATCAAACCCTGGGTGGGGATCTGCCAACCTGTACCTGAGCTTCCTCCAGGGCCAGCTTCTCCAGCCCAGCGGTGTCCAGCTGCACACCTTTCTCTTTCAGCATTAGCTCTACCAAGTCCAGGGGGAGTCCCAGGTCCCCAGAAAGTGACAAGGACCAGGCCACTTCGGCTTTGAGAAAGGAAGACAAGAGGCACTGAGGAGTGCAGATGGGGGGGCCAGGGAGGGAGGATGAGAGTGAGCATGAAGGAAGGGCCAGGGCTTTGGTTTCTAACACAGAAGCCACCAGGTGCCCCTGGCCCACATCAACCAGACCCAGAAGAGGGGCCATCTTCCGGCTGCCAGGCCAGAGCGGAGGTTAGCTCTGGGTACTCCCAGCCCCAGATCATTTCCTAGGTGGAGGGAGCGCTGCACAGGCAGGGGGCACTCTGGACAGTGGGGCTGGAGGCAGGGCTAGCTGGACAGTGCTCCTACCACACAGAGGCTGGCATGCTGGAAGGGCACTGGGAAAGGGGACACTGGAGTGGATGTAGGGTGGACATGAGGTCCAGGCTGGCCCTAAGCTCATTCTCTGCTCATGCAAGTAGCCTCTGCCTGCCTTGGCGGGTCCAAGTGAGCCCCTCAAGCAGGCAAGCACAGGGACCCAGTTACCAGGGAACATGTCAGAAGGTCCCAGGCGCCTCAGGGTTCTATCGATGATCCGCCGACCTCGCTGCAGGGAGGCCAAGAAGGCCGCCTCGTCTTCCGACACCAGGCTGGTGATCTGAACCAAGGGCAGGGTGGGGGTGGAGCTGGGCCCTCCTCAGAGGGGGTGGGAGCTCTCTCCCAGCTCTCCTCAGCCCCTCTCTCCACCATCAGTCTAGTACCTGGGCTGAGCTCTTCTGCAGTTCTGGATAGGCGTCTCCCTGGGGAAGGTCGACAGAGCTGAGGAGGGGGGAAAACAGCTAGTCTGATGTCCACCTCCCTACACTTTCTGGAGGACACCCGTCCTGGAGGCTGACCAGCTGAGGGACTAAGGGAGGGACCCAAGTGGGAATGCTGTTTCTCTGTAGGATGGGGATATAAGTAGAAGGGAGCTACAAGGCCAGAGGCTTGGTAGCCTGGGCAAGGGGGCTTCCTGAAGTTTTCCTGCTTTGTGTAGCCAGTTCCAGCTTTCTCAACCTACTGATGGCACAGTGGACTGGATAGTTATGGGGGGGAGCCCTGGGTGCCCAGGCTGGGGTGCTGTCTGGGCTGAGCAGGAGGCTCCTTGAGCACCCAGGGAAGCCCGCAGGAGGGGGGAAGCTCTGTCCTTACCAGTGACTCTACCACCACAGGCACCAGACTGCCTAGAAAGCCAGGGGGTGCCCTCAAGATTTCTGTGCAGAACCGCACAGCTCGACGGAGGATCCGACGAAGAATCAGCCTAGAGGTGTTCAGAATCAAGGTATGAACCCCAGCAGCCCCAGTAAGCAGTAGGGGGGCAGGGTGGATAAGGGTCAGTACTGGGGGGGCACGGAGGACAAAGGCGCTGTCCCTCATTGCTCCTGTAGATCCACTTGAACCTGAACCCCCTTTCTGCCTCCTTGCCCCCTCTCCCCTGCAACCTCAGCACCTTGTGCCCCTTTCTGCTCGTTTTCCAGACTCACGGGGCACCTGACATCCCAGGGGAGACACCATCAGCGATGCAGACACTAAGCATGCGGATGTGGTCAGCCACTATGCGGTACGCCGTGTCTGTGCATCCCTCATCTGCTGCACCTACCCGGCCCCTGTAAGGAGGGGCCCCGCAGCCCTGGAAAGCAGGAGAGGAGACACAGCTGCTGGCTGTGCCTGATCTGCGGTGGAGGCTTGTCACTGCACCTGCATCATCTGCCCTCACCCCAGAGCCAGCCACATCCAGTATGGCCTTGCTGGGCAGGCCCTGGACTGCAGTTGCCTCAAAGACGAACGGGAGCCAGATACTGCCTTCACGGGGCTCACACTCAACACTGCAACGATCATGTTGTTGTGAAGTGCCATCGAGTTGGTTCCAACTCATAGTGACCTTGTATAGGGCTTCCAAGGAGCTGTTGGTGGGTTTGAACTGCTGACCTTGTGGTCTGCAGTCACCATTTATTGAGTTTCTGTTGTCAGAACTGGGCGGGTACTTGGATGACATGGCACTTAGTCCTCAAAGCAGCCCATTTGGGGAGGAGCTATTATCCTTACTTTAACGAAGAAGGCACTGAGGCTCAGAGGTGCTAATTGACCTGAAACCACAGAATTTATCAGAGCAGAGCTGAGATATGAACCAGCCCTAACTCTGGGTGCTGTCCATCACCTGCTCTGGACACGACAGGCCACAGGAGGAAGGAATAGAAGAGGGAGGCTCACCTGCCGGATAGCTTCGAGCAGTGGGGAAAAGAGGTCAGTGTCGTAGGTGGAGCGCTTGCCTTGCAGCACGGCCACCAGCCTTTCCAGGCCCATCCCGGTGTCCACATGCCGCTGGGGCAGGGGCTGCAGGCTTCCATCTGTCTCTCTGGCCAGAGAAGGTGTGAAAGGGGAGGCCCCGCCCAGGAGTGCAGGTGGGAAGCAGATGCCCAAGTACAGGAGTGAGGAGGCGGGACCCAGGGACACACACACAGTGAGACAGGCAGGCAGTATGTAGATCGTCTTCTCCCCACCAAGGCTACACAACAGGCCTCAGCTCCTGTCCTTTCTCACAGTGTCCTCATTCCTGCTCAAACCCTTCCCCAGTTTGAGACAGGCCCTCCAGGGACAGAAGTCTTTGTCCACAGAAAGAACCAGGTCAGAGCAGGAAGGAACCCTTGAACAGGTCAACTGTTCACCTCCAGCATATTATGACTGATACACGCTCAGAGGCTGGAAGGAGCTCTGGTAGCACAGTGGTTACAAATCGGGCTGTGAACCTTAAGGTCAGCGGTTCGAAACTACCAGCCACTCCGCAGGAGAAAGATGAGGCTTTCTACTCCCGTAAAGAGTTACACCCTCGGAAACCCTGTATAGGGTCGCTATGGGTCGGAATTGACTCGACGGCACTTAACAGCAACAACATGCTCAGAGGCTGGAACACAGCAGTGACGAGCTGAACCATTACAGGCAAAGACTGAGATGAAAGGGTTTAAAACCAAGTTGCTTGGCACATAGTACGCACAACTGAAGTCCTTGTTTTTCCCCTAAGCAATGGCTCAGTCTCCTGTGTTTTTCAATTCCCGGCCAGGGAGTACCCTCCTGCCTCAGCACCCCATTACCTGTTGTGCTGCATGAAGACCAGATTCCAAAGCTCCACCAGCTGAGGGGTTCCCACCCCACCATCCAGGTCATAGTGGATCTCGGTACAGGGCCCACATGGACCAGTATCTCCCATCTCCCAGAAGTTTTCTTGTGGCCCAAAGGAAAGCACACGGCTGGCGGGTACGCTGCAGAGAAAGCCAGGCCAGTGGTGGGGAGATGGACAGACCCAGAAACTATGAGGGCCTCTCCTTCAACAAGACCAAGAGGGTGACCCTAGGAGCCCAGGGTATGCTGAGACGGAGGACAGAAAGTGGCAGTCTCGAATGCCTGGCCATCCAGGAGACATAAGAAGAGGATAGACTTACCCTAAGCTGAGCCAGATGTCCCTGCTCTCCAGATCTGGGTCCAGTCCTGCCTTGGGGTCACCACCAAAGTAGGAGACCCAGAGCCTGTCCTCAGGGATCCCATAGACTTGGGTCAGCAGCTCCCAGGCCATGCTACAAGACTCTTCCTGCAGCAGAAAGCAAGAGGTGGGAAGAGGAAGGCCCCACTGACGCACCAAGCAAGCCACAAGAGCTCAGTCCTCATCTTCAATCAAACCCATTTCAACTGCACACCTTGTTCCCCGAACAAGCCACGATCATTTCTGCCTCTGAGTTTTTCCTGCCCAGAAAGCTCATCCCCTCTTCTAAATCTTATCTTTCAAATCCCTGAACAAGGCCCACCTTCTCAAAGACATCATCTATCCATCCTAGCCTGGGATGCAGATCTCTAGCATCTGCATTTTTACATTACTGACCATTGAGTCATATAACAATTATTGATTAGACAGCAGTCATAGTCCCTGCCCTCAAGGAGCTTGCAATCCAGCTAGGGAAGAGAGAATTTCTATTCTACACATGCATGCTGATCCGGCACTTGTCTATGTGTCTGGTATGAAGCAATGCCTAAGAAGACTCTAGGAGACTTAGGACAGGACTGACCTTGACTTACCACTGACCCTTTTCAAACTCCAAGCTGCCCTGAGTCTCACCTTAAAATATTCACCGCCAAAGGCCCAATTGCCAAGCATCTCAAAGAAGGTGTGATGGGAAAGGTCTCGGCCCACATCCTCCAGGTCGCTGTGACGTCCTCCAGCCCTCACACATTTCTGACAGTTGGCCACACGCTGGAAGCCTGCCATCTCGCTCCGTGGGTCCACAGTGCCCAGAAAGATTGGCTTGAACTGGAAGCACATAAAAGGAGGTATGTGCTCCTCAGTAGAAGGAGAAAGTGAGGAGTTGTATTTGCCCCTTCCCTGTGCCACACACACCAACCAGAGACAGCTTCCACAGCCCCCAAGGTTGCCCCTGTGTAGGCTCAGACCACATTGTATCCTCAGGGCCACAGCCATCCCTGGCCCCACAATTCACTTTCCCCAGGAATGGCAACCTTGCGGGCTGTGGAACCCATCTCTGGTATGTGTGGTGCAGGGAAGGGGCAAATAAATCATGACCAGAAACCCTCTGCCAGTCAAATAGGCAAGATGAAAGGATTGCACGGGTGGTTGAGAACAGGATACTGCATGGCTACAGCCTTCATCTGTTTCTTTAACCACACCCAGTAAACTGCGGATACAAAACAGGTCACAGAGTACTCTGGGCACTTCCTAGAATGTCAGCATTTAGTAAAGATTGGGGGCTGCCTCTAATGTTAACCTGCTGCTGTGTGACTTGGAGTTGGTTCAACTCATAGGGACCCTGTATAGGATTTCCCAGGCTATATAAATCTTCGCGAGAGCAGAAAGTCTCATCTTTCTCCTTCGGAGCAGCTGGTGGATTTGAACTGTTGATCTTGTGGTCAGTAGCCCAGCTCATAATTCACTATGCTACCAAGGCTCCTTAAAGTTAACCTACCCTCCCATTTTACAGAGGAGGGCAATGAGACCTAGTGAGGGTAAGTGCTTGTTCCAAGTCAATAGCTTAGAGGATACTGCCGGGTGGCGGTTGTGTGCTCTCCAGACGGTTCCAACTCACAGTGACCCTGTACAGGGTTTCCGAAGCTGTAAATGGGAGTAGAAAGCCTTACCTTTCTCCGGTGGATGGGCTGGTAGATTTGAGCTTCTGATCTTGTAGTTAGCAGCCCAGTTTGTAATCCACTATGCTACCAGGGCTCCTTACAGAACAGAGCCTGTTGTTGGTGGTGGTGGTTGCGGTTGTGGTTATGTGCCATGGAGTCGGTTCCGACTCATGGCGACCCTGTATAGGGTTTCCGAGGAGTGGCTGGTGGGTTTGAACCACTGACCTACGGTTAGCAGTCCAGAGCTTATGCTGCAATGCCACACCAGTACTCACAAAGAACTGTACCTAGCACATGGTAATTGCTCAATAAACTCTTGATAATGATGAGTTCATAAATAATGAATGACTAAATGAAGCCAGATTTCCCCACCATTCTGCCCCACAGGATTGCACACTTGCCATTCCTAGACCTAAAACTCAATCCCAACCCAGAAGGCACCCAGGTCGAGTCCTTCCCAACCCCCTCCCCCAATACATATGGGCTCCGACCCCGACCCCGCTTCTTTTGCCCAACCACGCAGCGCTTTTTCTCCTTTAAAAAAAAGTAACAAATCCCGCCACCAGCCAGCAGGGCTCAACCCCCACCTGGTTCATCCCCGCATTGACGAAAAGCAAACTGGGGTCGCCGCGGGGCCGTACGGAAGCGGATGGCACTAGCCGGTGACCATGGCGGTCCCGAAAGAAGGTCAAGAAGGCGTCTCGTACGGCCCTGGCCGGGGCTGGAGGGGGCTCGGATGAAAGCGGACGATGGCTGGAGGCCCTCCAGGAGGGGTACCTTCCAAGAGCCCTCCGCAGCCGGCCGGCTGCAGCCGACACCGACGCTGCCATCTTAGCTCCGGGCAGCGACTTCTGACCGTCAAGTGTTTCAAGGAAGGCCGGGCGTATCCTACAGCGACCCCTATCGTTTGGAGGACTCAGGATAACCTCTGCCCAAGCCAATCCCACTGTCATGCAGGGGATTTCCAATCAGCGACCCTTTAGGGTTTTGGAGACTGCAAATCTTGACGCTAGCAGACCAATTCAACCTTTGCCCACTGATCTTGCAGTTAACCGCCCAACACGTAACTCATTTCGTTGTTGTTGTGAAGTGCTGTCGAGTGGTTGCCAACTCATAGCGACCCTGTATAGGGTTTCTGAGGAGCGGCTGGTGGGTTTGAATCATCAACCTTGTTAACAATCCAGTGCTTTGTTCTGCAGTGCTACACCAGGGCACCACCACGTGGTAGACTCTTAATTCACCGCACATAACCACCAACCACCACAATAAGCAAATATTCATTGAAAGCCACGTGGCTGTCATTGGGGCACATTAAAACAAAATTAACAAAAATCCCTGCCTTTTGGAAAGGTTTGTTGTTGTTGTTAAGTGCCGTCGAGTCGGATCCGACCCATAGCGACCCTGTACAGGGTTTCCGAGACTGTAAATCTTTACGGGAGCAGAACGCCTCATCTTTCTCCCGCGGAGCGGCTGGTAGTTTCGAACTGCTGGCCTTAAGGTTAGAAGCCCGATTTGTAACCACTACGCTACCAGAGCTCCTTTAGCAATAATTGTTAATGCCTATTAATTTTGCAAGGTTACAAATGGGGTTGTATTGAACAGATGTAGATTCTGCTTGTGTGTGTGTTGCCAGGCTGAGGTGAAAAAGGCAGAAAGTGCCATGGGACGGAGCAACATTTATTCAAGAGTCATTTCACAATTTATGGAGTGCTTTCTTCATGCCCAGTACTGTTCTAGACACTTGCCCTTGGCATTGGAGAAAGTCATTTTGTCCTTAGGGACTGGAGCAGGAATCTAGCAGAGACACAGAAGCTGAGCAGCATCTGCTTCATTCTTAATTGCTTAATAACATTAAGTCTTTACATTTGCCTGGGGATTAGAAAGAATCCAGGTTGTCAGGGCAGGACCAAACTGTGGGTTTAGAGCTGCGGAGATCTCTCTCTAAGCCTCCCATGGAGTCCTGGTGTGGTGCTGTGGGATAATGCACTGGACCTCAAGGTCGGTTTGAACCGCATTGTTGGTGGTTCAAATGCACCAGTCGCTCCTTGAAACCCTAAACAGGGTCACTATGAGTGTCGACTTTTAACAACAACAGAAACAACAAGCCTCCCATAGACTCCTGGTGTAGTGCTGGAGCATCAGCACTGACTACAAACTACAAGATTGGCAGTTCAAACCCAGCAGCTATTCCTTGGAAGCCCTGTACAGGGTTGCTATGAGTTGTACCGGCTCGTAGTCCCCTGCACTTGACTATGAGTTGGTACAATTGAAGGCACTTAACAACAACAACAAGCTGCCTATCACTCCAGGGTTTTGTGTGGTTTGCTGAGATACTGGGTGCAGCCAAGGACTTCTCATGATACCCTCTCAGAGAATTTGCTAGCCTTGAAGCCTAATTGGGACAGCAGAGCTGACATCAGTATGGTCACCAAAAAGGCCTCGGCTATTCATATGGCTCTTTGGCCACCATCATGCTGGGTTATGTTATTGGGGAACTCTTTTTTTTTTTTTTTCCCTCACAGAGCAAATCATCAGTTTTATTTTCAACAAATTACATATTTTCCTTCATTACAATGATTGCAATTCCCTCCATGTACCATCCAGTTAACAGCATTTACCTCTATTCACTTTTAACTATTGCATTCCTCCTTATGTTTCCCACTACCTTCACCTTTCCTCTGCTTACCTCCCTCTCCTTGTATATTGCCTGCCCTGTCACCCATGTTAACATGCAACTAGTTTAGGAATAATATTCCCTCACCCCCACCCTGTAACCATCATAGATTGTTTCTTTTATCAAGAAAACTAAAAAAAAATTTTAAAAACTTTTTGCAATATTGTTGTTGGTAAGTTTCATGGAGTTGGTTCTGACCCATAGCGACCCTGTACAGGGTTTCCAAGGTGAGCTTGAATTGCCGACCTTGCGGTTCAAACCAATTTTGTAGTCCAGTGTATTACATTAGTCTCAGACAATATTTGTCCTTTTGCGATTGACTAATTTCACTCAGTGTAATGTCTTCCAGGTTCAACCAGGTTGTGAGGTGTTTTACAGATTCATCATTATTCTTCAATGTTTAATAGTTTTCCACTGTGTCTGTATACCAAAGTTTGTTTAATCATTCTTCTGTTGATGGGCATTTAGGCTGTCTTCATCTTTTTGATATGTCTCTTGTAGGCAGCATATTGAAGGATCCTACTTTCTTACTTATTTTGTTCTTTATGTCTCTTGACTGGTACATTAATCCATTTATATTCAGTATAATTATCAATAGGTATGAATTGATTGCTGTCATTTTTCTGTGTGTATTTTTTGTTGTGCTGCTGGATTCTTTGTTCCAGATCATTTTCTTTGCTGAATTCATTTTGTTTGTGGGCTTTCTTTTCATTTTCATTAATGTTGTACTAATGTTTATGAAATCTTCCTGATGTCTTCTTTTTTAAAAAAATTTTGTTGTTTTCAGGTGTATTATTTTTCTTTGAGATTACCCTATAACTTATTAATTTCCCCCTGCTTAAAACAGTTTGCTTTTTCTTGAAATCTACTCTACTTCCATTTGGAAATTCTATATCTACCAGCTGCTCCTCAGAAACCTTGTACAGGGTCACTATGGGTTGGAATCAATTCGACGGCACTTAACAACAACAACAACAACATATCTATACTATTCCCTCTTTTTGCTTTGTAATTGACTTCATTATACATTGATATCTGTGATTCCCTATTTTCAGTCTTGTAGGACTGTTTAACCTTAAATATTTCTATATCTGAATTGGAGTCCTGGTGTGGTGCTGTGTGTTAATGTGCCAGACTGCAAAGCAGTTTAAATTGCAAGGTCGGCGGTTCAAGCTCACCAGCTGCTCCTCGGAAACCCTATACAGGGTTGCTATGGGTCGGAATCAATTTGACCGGCACTTAACAACAACGGTATCTAAATTGAGTTTTGGGTGGTATTGTCATGTATGATCATCGCAGGTTGTTGTCTGCTGTTGTTAAAGGAATTGTAATGACCAGACTACAACTTTACAAAAATGTTACAGGGTGTTCTCAGTCCAAAGTAAAGTTGGTCTGGTCATTATAAATTTCTTTTATCAGGAAATGTCCTAATTTCATCATTGTATTTGAGAGACAGCTTTGCTGGATATATGAGTCTTGGTTGGCAATTTTTGAATTTTAGAACTTTGTATATGTATTGGGGAACTTTTGAAATGGTTTACTGAGAAATGTCCATTCTATTTTGGACTTTAGTTTCTATGTTGTTGTTAAGTGCTGTCGAGTTGGTTCCAAATAAAAGTGGACCCTGTATATGGTTTCTGAGGACCTTTCGGTTAGCAGTCCAATGCTTATCCTACTGTGCCAAACCAGGACTCTTGGTTTTCTATGTTGTTAAGTGTTGATAGTGCCTCTGTGTAGAGTTTCCAAAGAGTGACTGGTGGGTTTGAAC